TTTAACTAAAGTATTTTGCATTATACATAAAACTTTTAAACGTTTAAATGATTTTATTGACATATTATTGACATATTGACATATTATTTTCATTTTGTATTGTCTTGTATATCATTTCGATGGAATATAAGATAATATATTAAGAAAAATTGTAATAAACTAAATGTCCCAATGGCTGGATATGTCTCAATCTCCGAAAATATATGAACAAAATAATTTTTTAATATTTATAAATATAATGTCTGGAAACTGTGGTAAATTTATATATCCAATTATTTTTGCAAATATTTAATATCGTCGTTTAATAAAAGCAAATTTTGGTTTTAAATTTCCGCGAAGTAAATTTTAATCTTTATTATATAATATTAAAAATATTATTTTCATAGAAAACATCACATCTTTTATAATAATTAATTCTTAAATATATTGCCACTGGAACATTTCTCTTAAATATTGTAAACTTGTAAAAATCTTTTTCTCATTTGTACAAAATATTGTATTAATATATTGTATATTATATTGTATATTATATATTATATTATATAATTGTATATTGTATTATATATATATGTATGTATCACATTATTGCATCTGTATGCAGCATTGTTGTATATATTTCTTCTTCATTGTATATGTTTTCTGAATTTAATATTATTTATTGTATACTATTATTATATTGTATTTGGTTTTATTAAAATCTTTTCTCGACAAACAATGTATTTTATTTCACAACATTCTTTAAATCCTCTTTTCATTGAAAGAAAGAAAATGACGACGCACGGGGATAAGGTTTTGTGTGCGCAGTATAAGCCATTTTTGTACGTGAGTTGCTAGATATTTATGGGCATAATGTTTTCTGGGTATTATAAACAATTATATAAGCATAATTAAAACAATAATCCAGTAAACACAAACAGTAACATAACATCAATGTTACAATTTCCCATTCGACAATGCAATCGTTACGAGACAAGTTACATTGCTGAGTGGGAAATTATAACATTGATGTTATGTTACTGTTAGTTTCCCAGGCAGCACACATGTCCAAAATACATTCAAAGGGTACCCAGAGCACGTCCTGCGGTCCCAAAAACATCTTCGGAATATCCTCTGGATGTCTTTTGCATAATACTGTGCTGAATTGTGTTTACTGGAAAAATAATTAATATTACAAGTTTTTTGAAAATAATCCCATAACAATAGGTGCGCACCGCTTAATGCTATTTGTCACTCATTTTAAGAGTATGTCTTCGTGACGAAAACATGACTTTTTCAAAATAAATATTGTCAGTTTACAATTGTCAATGTTATTTTGCAATAAATAAAAAAAATTATTTTTAAAGTAAATCTATATAAATTGATATAACAAAACTTACGCATCAATTAAAAAAAAAAACTATAAGTTTTTTTTTTGTTGGAGTGGGGAAAAATCTTCCAAAGACCTCCTCTGGCCCCGTACCAGGGGAGAGTGTTGGATTCAACCAGGACTCAGATCGACGAGAACCATGAATCCGAACGATCCTTGTCCCGATCGCCTACCAACTAAAAAACCCCACCATATAATCCTATAATATATTTAATACCTACCTAAATAATATATTTAATGAAATTTAACCTTTTAACGTAGAACATATGTTCAAAGAATTGAAAATTCTTTAATAGATTGATATATGTATATGTACATTTTTATTGGCATAATGCAAAGATCACAATCACAGCTGAAATAATTGCATAAATCTTTAACTAGCAGGTCTTATCACGAGGAAATATGACATATATTTCCTGTAAATAACTGAGATAATCAGTTATATATTTCTTGATATTTCTTTTCCCTATTTATATGCTGAAACATCTGATATTGAGCGATTTATCAAAATCACTTGTATTATATATTTTACGGTATTCGTTTGTACCTTGCCTTGTAATTGCCTTGTTGAATACCGTGTGCACATATAC